AGTTTAGTAACAAAACGCAGTGCAAAGGAAAACAAGAGAAAAATTCGAAGCTTGTCTGCCACTTTATCCCTGATGTTTGCTTGAAATGTCGCCTCTTTATTTAAGCGTTTTTTTTCTCCTTTTCTAACGGATGCTATACCTCATGGTTTCTTATTTTTCACGACGTGACGACGTTGTAATTAAAAATTCCTCTCATTCGAGATGAATTGGTATTTTGCGTGTAAAATATGTGTGTACGTAATGATAATAAAAATAGTTCCAGAGAATACAAGCATAATAACAATGTCCTGAACGAATTAATTACGGATGGGAAGAAAAAATGAGAATTTGCAAAGAAACTCACATAGAACAAATGGATGTTCCTATTCCTCGTTACATGAACAATCACATAACAATTGGATAACAGCGCGTGGTATCCGTAGAAGAATTACCTGCAGAACTACATCTAGGACGGCTTCAGAGGAACAGGAAATGTGAGATTTAGGTGTTAATCGGACTTTCACTGGTTGAATCGATAACCTGAAGCTTTTGGCAGCTAACGAATTCGTAGTCGAGTTCACCGTACTTACAATACGCATCATACTCTGAACTTTTGTTAGAACACGCATTATTCACGCTTACTTCTGTAGGATTTGAAAAGTTCGAATTCCGCACTGATTGAAATCGGTAATAAACATATAGGTAGAGAATGCAGCTTTAATTGTTGCTCAACTGGATTAGAATGAGTCACTCATAGTGCGCATAATATATTATCAGCTTCGTCACGGTTCATGTAGCCGAATGTAACGTGTTACCAATTTTTGAAGTCAAAATGGATTCTAGTGACTATGCTCTTTGCGCACGGTTCAGGTCCAAATAGTATACTGTTCGTTGAATGAGGGGATGAAATGCCGGTTTATGGAGCAACAAAATGATGACTGATACTATCGAAGTTATTGCGGTTTTTGTTGTAACTGCAATTTTCTACACATGCAGGCTTTGATGTGAAAAGTAATATGAGATCGTAATGAAGTATAGGAGTAGCGGCGGAACCAGGATTTCGTGCTGGGCAGGGCTCAACCCATCACTTTTCTGGAGTTCGGTCTGAAGTAGTGTTAAAATTTCAGGAAAAACTTTAAAAAGCTGTCTAGGCGGGGTTCAGTGCTTTCTAGGCAGGGCTTAGCCCAGTCTAGCCGTGTTGGTGGCTCCGCGACTATATAGGAGCATAAATATTGGGCAACAATTTAGGGTATTGCTGTTGAAAATATGGGTGGTGTAAATCAACAGGCAAATTTCCAGTTGTTTAATATCAGTATGGATATGCAATAGAAGTTTACTTATGTAACTGTTTCTGTTATAATAAGATTGATGTGTTGTACGGTATAGGATAAAAGAAAGATAAATAACGACAGCCAAAAAGGTCTGAAAATTTTGGCGGACCCGAACCCGTTTGCTTCATGACTCGGACTCGATACCCTCCGGACACGCCCAGCCCGAGTACGGTGTGGTAATTTCTTCTTTACATAGAGTACATATATGCCGATTAATAGTTGCGGTTGGTTTAAGTCTGCCAATAAATTTGTAGGTACAGATCATAGTTGTCGCTATGTTTTTCCTCGTAAGTTCACATACTGTGTATAAAATCATTCAAATACTTTTTGGACACACGCTTATTCATATATTTTGCATAATGAAACATTGAATTTCTTACTCATCAACAATGCACTCGTGAGTTTCAATAACATAAACTTTAATATCAAAGTTTCTAGGCGCCCAATTGATCATGTATGACTTAATTTACTTCACATAAAATGTATGATTCTGCTTGTCATGTACTTTGAATATCGTATGTTCGAGCGCGACGAGTCATCGGGTAAGCTTTGATAAGCTGCTTATACATGCACATTCGACAGTATACTTACTACATTGTGATGTAGTAAGTACAAGATAGTGCGTCTGGATCGTCAAAAAGCTAGTATATGCTATACATGTGTATGGAGCAAAAAAAACAGTAATTTGAATCAAGTCAGCTTTAGTATGCTGTTACAACTGTTACAACAACTGTTACAAAATGCTGTTACAACAAAACAGTTAGGAAAGCAAACAAAGATATATGAAATGATTTGTTTCATTTTCAGCGATTCCTGAGGATTGATTAGCCTTTATATAGACGAGTTTTAATGCTAAACTTTCGAGATTCAAAAGTATAATTATATACAACAAACACGCCTAGACGGTGATTGTTTGACATCAGTGAGATTTGCCGAATACAGAAAAACGCGTATATTGAATTCCGATGGTGAACTGGCATCAATCAGCTAACAAAATTTTTTATTAATACAGTAGAAATAGTTAGTTATAGCTAGTTGCACAAAAAACGTGTTTATGCCTCGACGTTTTGTTTATTGCAGCAAAAATTTCCATTTGTCATGACACATTGGCCACTGAAAATAATCTTTGCATAAATCCCCATTTACCTATTGGGAAAGATAAGCAACAGTAAAATTGTGTCTCTTCTTCATGTTTCTATCAAAGGCAGACGCACTTGAAACGAAATAAGTTTTATTCAAGCACTTAATGAAAAATAGAAGAAAAGAAAAGAAAAAAAAAAACTAGGGCGCTATTAAGTTGTTTGGCATCATTTTAGTACTCGTTTTCTTTTTTGACAGAGCCCCTTGGCAGAAGATAAATTTCCTAGTGATGGGTGAGGGCAGTGATGTTGTACTTACGTTCTTCGCTTTCTTTTTTCATCGAATTTCCTTTTTTTGTTCTCTTTCTCTTTGTCCTCGTTCTTTATACTATCGTTAACACCGTTTACCATGGCCGTCGATACAGAAAGACACGTTTTTTGTTCTGGTTTCTTCGATATATTCAATAAAAATAGAAAAAAAGACATGTAACGGAAAACTGCAATAAGACGAAGAAATCAAGCGTTAGATTTTTCTGTATATTGTTATGTAACCCCAAATTCTTGTAACCTTTTTGGATGGTGTTTACTGTGGCCACATCATTGGTGGATTGTGTATTCGTTTGTGATCCAATACATCTATTGTCGAACTCTTTTTTCTCTTTCGTTCTTTCTCTCTCCCGCTCGCTCTTTCATTCTCTCTCTCTATCCGTTTCTCCGTATATAAAAATGAACATGTGTATTGAAAAGAATTGATATTCTTCATTTTCTCTTTTCTTATTCCGTCGACGTACGCACTGACACATGGCACAAAAAGAAACTTTTTAATTATTTTGAGCATTGATTGAAATGCAAATCTTCATTCCGCCTACAAAAAATTAAGTATGTGACACATTTTAAAATTTTCATCTGTTTAATGGTACCATTAGGTGAAATCGCTTTTATAACGTGTTAATTGATAATGTGTTTGTGTAGTTAAGGTATATTTATAACTTCTACAATGTAGTATCTTATAGCTATAGCATCTTTTTGCATTGCATTTTGATCGACTTACACACACTTTTATTACTTTATGTAGATTTACAAATCAGTTTCTATTAAATTTAATTATACTTTGTTTCAACTGTTGTCATTGTGTGCGTTGATGTTCGTGCTAAAAATCATGTTTTTCATTAAACAAAAAGTTTTTTGTATGTTGTTAGATATTCAGATGTGAAACGGGACTGAAAATAAACTGGTTATTCGAGATATCATTACTCGTGTAACATGCATAAGGCGAGAGTATGATATTAAATATAACTGGGATGTAATAAGCAAAAAAAAAAATCGATCAATTATAAATGTTCAGTGGAGCATATCGTCGTAGTGATTATTTGTGATATCTATACAATCACCTCGTTTGAAAATAAACTGAGGGTCGTTATAAGGAATTATAAGCATGACAAACGGCGCTTCAATTTAATCAATTTCAATTTTACATAGAGGCAATACTAACTGTTAGGATTAGATTTCTTTATTACCATTTGCGAGGAGCTTAGCATTCATTGCTCAAATATCGAATGTCGAGTCATGATCGAGTATTGTACGCTTGTAATGTTTACACTGACAACTAACGACAGATTGATCAACGATAAGAAATGAGAAAATAGTAAGTTTTTCTTGTTAAATTCCAGCATCAATAGCGCGATGTTTCCTAAATATATAAAGTGTTGTGATAGATAGGAAAATGCTTTACAAAACCACATAATGATATTATTTATCTTCAGATTCAATATTTGAAAATTCAGCTCGACGTTTCTCATTAGCTGATAATATTTATATGATCTAAACGTGCTTTTTATCGAGTGCAACATTTACTCTTAAAGTAAGCAGAAGTTTTTGCGATATTTCTTTCGTGTTTCCCTCCACTTTAGCTTTTTCTCTTTTGTTTGTTCTATTATTCTCGATAATTCATCTGTTCTTCTAGCTTTGCGTTTGTTTTAACATCGAGTGTGACGCATACTTTTCTTTTCTTCTCTTTTTTTTTTTGACTTGCATTCTTATTATTCGTCTTTATTTGTTACTAAAACAAACCTAACATTTACAGATTGAATGGTAGGTAGTATGCATACTCATTCTTTTTTTTTCTGTTAATCATCATCAATGACTTTTACTGCTAGGTTGAAATCGAAGTAAAACAGGAATAGAATTTTGCATCAATGAAAATGATCAAATCGTTTGTTGATACACAAGCTCAAATGATATCGAACATAGTCGATGAAAAACCGATTGTTCAACAGCAAGAACGAGCCGAATTACGACATCGTCTACGTGACACACAAGCATTTGATTACAATTCAAGATTAGGACGATTTGCATGGACTCAAATAAATGAAAATTGTCCACTACCAATCATATTTAGGTACGTAAAAGGGAACATGAAGGTGGTATTCGTGTAACGACAACAATTCTGGCATTCTGTTTTATCACTGATTGAAGTTGACTATAATTGTTTTAGCTCTAAAAACGAAGTTTTTTCATCATTTTTGTGAGTATAGACTATAACTCTTCCGTTCTTACAATAACATGCATAAAAATCGGAAGCGGAACTAAAGAATCGTTTATATTTCTTCGTGAGATAAATCACTGAATTTAACGGTGTAAATCATATTTTTTGCATGCATGTTTGTTCTAATGGGAAATGAAACAGTTTATAATTAAAAATGAAATGATAATTTAATTCCTGTTAAATATGTGACCAGAACAGTTTGTGTGAAAGTCAGCTTATGGTGAAAAGCTACCAAACGCGTCAAAGTTAATTAACAAACATTTGGTTGTGTTATTTATTCATTGGATAAATTTGTATAAAAAACAACAACAAGTAGCTGATGTTCTACATGAGTCTGTTTGTTTTCACCTTATTTATCATTAAACGTCATGCCCTTTTTTCTTCTCCAACAAAAAAGGTAGAAAAAAAAAAACGCATGACCTGTATCCGTTATCAAACACAGGCTTAAACGGAAAAAGGGAAACGAACATTTCACATGTATATCATCAATGCCGCATTAAAAATTAAAAAGAAAATTTCAACCTTCGTACATAAGAATGAGCAATTGCAAGATTAATAATATTAATGAATCACGTAGAAGCATGTTTTATGCTTTGATGATATTATTTATTTAATTTAATTATAATCTTACATGTGACATACTCAAAAAAGATAACAGAATACAGTTTTTCATTTTCTTATTTATGTGATATACTGTTTTTTATTCAACGTATGGTGTTTAATGTATGAGTCAAAAGGTACAAGTGATTTTGTTATGTTAACAAATGCACAGTGGTATTCATCGAATGAAAAATAAATCAGCTGAAGTATTTTGTTTTGATAAATCAACATCAAATACAAGTTTAAATTTGGATATGTTAAAAGATATTCGATAGATCTAGATGATACAAATACCATTGTACAGTTATTAAATGTCTAAATTTTCAAAGAGCGATATTAATAGAAAGTATTAAAATTTGTAAGAAGAAATTGTTATTGCAATTATTCGTCAATATTTATTATTAACAATTTTCTAAATGATATTTTGATATTTTGATATTTTTATTTCTTCTGATCTTTTGAAGTATCTAAACATTTACAAGAATCGTTCTTTATTCAAATTATTACAAGAATTACAACGTGCAGTTATCGATTTTGTCAGCTTATAACTACATACAACATGTTGTTTCTGAAACTTTCTATGCATCTACGATAACATTTAGCTAAGATGTTTATGAATAATTTGTTTTTAAGTTGATGATGAATATGTGACCATCTAACATAGAGTGACACAATGTCATACTTTATGTTGATTCTAGAGATGAGTTATATATGCAATTCCAACAAAGCAGTTTTTTTAATGAGTTGAATGGAGAATTGAAAACATAGTGTAGGAGAAACAATAACTATGGAGAAAATAATGAGTTTACAGTGATATTGGTAAAAAAACTATTGTTTAGTTAATTAACGCTGTGTAAACGTGACAGATTGTGCGATCATTTTACGAGATGAAGTAGACTGGTGCCTTTCATAACAGATCCATTAAACATAAAAAAAGGAAATATTTTTAGAATCTTTGGATAGACAAACAGAGTCTTCCTCTATGGAAACTTATTGGACCAGATTCGAGTATTCATTTTTATAATGTATTTCAATACAAAAATTAAGAGAAAAGTTATATTTATAATAGATGGTGTGCTGCTGCTTTACTTTTCACCTAATTAAACAATTTAGCCCCTCTACCAGTTATGAGGCATTGTGACCTATTTCTGTTAATAAAGGTTTTTTTGCTCTATATGTGCACCTGTTTTTTTCCTCTTTTATTTTTTCCTCATTTTTATAGAAACAACATACGCACAGCAGGAAAAAGAAGAAAAGGGAACACTCAGTGTTCTTCTAAAGTTTTTGAATTATATTAAATAAAAAAACATTTCGTTCTGTTCCATTCATTTCTGAGATAATTTATTCGACTTTTACTATATAGATATGTATGAGACATCGAGAAAAGAAAAAGGAAAAGAGAAAGAAGATTGTTCACCGAAAATTGGACTTTTTTCTTTTTATCTCATGCAAAAGAATTGTAGCGCTAATAATAAAAAAGAAAAAGAAATGAGAGTTATTATATATATATATATATATATATCTCAGAATAAGATGAACACGAACAATAGGCAATTATGCGATACAGGAAACTTTTTTCTTTTTAAGAAGTCTTCAAGGCTTCATCATATGCGTGATGAGAGAGAACTCTTTGACTGATGAAAAATAGTCATCACTATTGTAGTAGAGAATCATGCAATTTCGGATAAATAATAGATTTTCACGTAAAAAATTCGTTTTACTAAACGAATAAAAGAATATGTTTAGTATGAACGTCAAAAAAAAAAACTTGCTTTTATACAAGAACAAACATATTCTTAAATTGTTGTGAATTGTTGTTTCAAAAGTGTTAACATCAAATCACATAACTTCCACTAAGAAGTCAATAGGTTTCTACAACTGAAAAAGTTCCATTTTTCATAAAGTACAACTTTTTTTTGTTTGCACATATACAAGAAATCAATAGATATCATCTTTTCAAGAATCAATTTTCGTCTACATTTATATAATCCTAACTAAATCCTATCATCTATTAGCTAAGGAAAATCATTTTATTTAAAATATCGCTTAGTATCAATTCAAAAATGGGTGTCCACTGTTTTTTTCTCTTCTATCGTTATAGGGGTGTCAATAGTAGTAAAGAAGAGTATCTATGTGTTCAAATGTTACGACAGAAAATATTTTCTTATTATCCTCAACAAATATTTGATTATTGTGTACAACATTATCCTATTCGGTTTTACTCAATTACTCCTCATGAAGCTGAATTGCTAAATAAAATTAATTCTTGGCATTCGAATGCCGCTTTTGGTAATCAACTTTATACGACAACAGATCAGATAACACAATTATCATCATTTAAGATATTTTATGATCTTCTTAGGTAAGCACAAGAAATATCTAAGATTCTCTCCATACGATTTAATTGTTAATAGGACGACAGTGCTAACGTCTAATCAACCGATTCGTCCTCAACCAACAAGTACGCCTGTTCCTCGAATACCTGTAGCTCCATTATCGACAAAACCGTCAACTTTCTTTGGCTATTGGGCATCCAGCTCTTTGCCATCGTTGCATCAACGGCAACAATCCAAACATAATCGTCTTATTGCACCAAAAACACATAGATCACAAACTCAAATGTCAGATGATCAACATATAAAACGTCCTTCCGTTATATTTCTGACAAAAAATCAAAAAAATATGGAAAAAAAAGGAGCAACATTAATATTACCGACAACAGTTCATCAAGTATCAAAATCAGGTTAGAATAAAAAGGAGTTTCTACATACTTCATTAAAAATTTGATTAAACCCTCATCAATATGCAATGTCTAATACATATTAAATTTTTATAAATGTTTTATCTCTGTTATGTTGTTTTTCCCACTACTTGAACAAAAATTATAATACTCAATGTTGAACTTTGGGTAATTTCTTTAGGCATTTCAGCTTCGAATGTCTCTAATAATCTGGAGGTGCCAACCAGGACAAATGCTAAACTACCCGAAAATGTGAATATTTTGCGGCAGACAATAGTGTCACATAAATCTTCGAATCAATCATCTAGCATGATAACAGGTACTTCGTAATAAAACGTCTCGTTTGCTCATACATTTATTCACATTCTTTTTCTTGAAGTTGTGTTATTTACTGAGACTTCTAATTGTTCACCTACTTGCTTCAATCAATGAATATTTTCAATCTAATTGATTGATTGTTTAGCGATAAAAACCAAAAAAAAAAAGATTCTGCGCGAAACAGATATTTATACTATGATAAAATGACGCGAACGCCCGTAGTTTTAAACCTACTCTAATACTCTATAAGCGCGTTCAATTGCTATAAATGATACAATTGTTCATTAATTCTCGGATTTAGGAGAAAATCAACCGTCATCGAAATCAATTATAACATCTCACAATGCTGTTGTAAGTTTTCATGATGCTACTAGTCAAAAGGTTTAAGTTCTTTTTATTATCTAGACAAAACGTCCTCCATTATCGCGTCCATTGTCGTCGTCATCATCAACCAACAGTGGTTTCCATCGTTATATCTCATTTCATGGTGAACAAATGTTGTGCTATTATACATCTCAAAGTGGTAGCAACACACCGATCAAATCGTGTCGATGTCTTGCACTACAGGACATCATAAGACTGTTTTTCCCAAAATCAAACATCGAGAGACTAATTCAATTGTGTCGACTAAAAGATATAACAAGATATAAACCAGAAAAAACAACTGATGTCGATTCCTGTTTAAGACTAGTCAACATAGAAGATTTACAAAAACACTGGAGCTTTTTAACCAAAGAACTAGGGGGAGCGACACAAAACAAAACAGGTTCGCATATCAATCAGAAGACTTATGCACTTATTATCCTTACACTCTATGTAAATATGGATGAGATAGAAAAACATTTATCGGTTTGGCCAGCTAACTCTACTCCCAGAGTGAAATTTCGTAATGATTCTTTTCTGCATTTTGTTTCTCTCATAATTTTCGAACGACGAGACGCCCCAAAGCTCTGGAACATCTTGGATTAAAGAGAAAAGTGTGCAGAGTTAGCTGATCAAGCCGTTATATCCTGTTGCATTGTACAAATAAGTGCCGATCATTCTATCTCGTATTGTAGAACACAGTATTATGTGTTTAGATCCATCAAAGACTTCATCTGCTTCTGGTTTGCTAACTTCGAACAAAATAATCATCAATAATCCTCCCGTTAAGACGAATACAGTACCACTAAAAGACACTTGCCGGAACAATTTATCAAGTAAGTCTTCCACAATCAACGAAATACAAAATTATTCACATGATCTTAATACAACACCATCGGCATTGATAAATCCAACTGCTGAAGAAATAGTTCTATCGATTGATAAACAATCGGTAACAACAATGGAGGAGGGTGAAATCCAAATTCCATTGGAAAATAACAATGAAATAGAAACATCTTCTCTGCCAGAGAAAAACGAGATACTGAAAACCAACGATCCTGTTCTCTCATCTCAAATTCCTGAAATATCACTGCAACCATTAAATATTGAAGATAGGCCAGAACCAGTTATAGAAAATACTGAGCTACCCCCTTCGTCTAATAAGATTCAAGAAGATGAATTAGATCTGGAAGATCTTTCAAAAGACAATGTTTGTCCTCCGATGAATGACATTGTATCATCGACTAACTCAATTATCGAACAAGAACCGTCGACTATCGAAGACAGTCTCGTCTTATCTCGGCATAGTTCAACATTACCACTTGAAGAATTAACTGCAATACAGCCTTTATTAGATGTTCCCTTAGTACCTGATCAAATTATAACATTAGCACAAAATAAACTGGTACCGTCAGATGTCCAACCAGAAATCAGTGATTCAGCTACGGAGCAATCATCACCCTCAGTGGTGAACTTATCATCTCACATTGATGTACCAGTCGTTCAAGATGTATCCAGTTCAAGAGCGGATAATCCTCAAATGGAAGTGTTTGAAGAGTTTATAGTACCTGCTCAAACTGTTGAGCAACATGTCGAATCTGATGAAATAATGAGAACAGCAACAATTGATTTTAGAGAGGTACAGAATTTAGAACCAAAGCTGACTTCAGCCACGTTTAATGATGAGAATGAAGTTAAATCCACACCAAAGCGTAAACTATCCGCATCATCAGGAGAATTATCAACCGATTCAAATAATAATAAAACACATTCTCAATCATCAAAACAAGAGCCCGAAAATGATATTAGACTACGTGGCAAAAGGGCAAGGAAAACGAAAACTTCTGAGGATGCTAGTGCTTTTAACAACAAAAAAATGCCTTGTCCATTAACCGCTACAAAAATAAAACCGATTATCACTAGTAGAACATTGCGTAAACGAACGTACACAAAGAATATGTGTAAATCTACTGTGGCCAAACCGATAAAACAATATCCTCTTCGTGATAAATGCCCAAAGAGCAATCACAATGTTCCAAATTGGACAAAGCAGTTTCATATTAAATCGTGTACTGTTGTATTGGACCATTTTGATCCTATGGCATACGATTTATAAAGAGGGTTTATTTGTTGTTTTCTGTATTGTCGTTGACCGATTATTTCTTGAGAATATTTAGATATCATCTGTATACCAGTCCCCAATCTTGTTGAAATACACCTTCTTTGCGTCACCTTACCGTTCTTAGCTAGCTACTAATTATCAGAATAAATGTTTTCAAAGGAAAAATTTAATTTAAAGTAGACATCTTTCTTATTACATTTCTTCCTCTCTTCCATTCCCTATGGTTTTATTTTAAATCTTTTGGTATTCTTAAAATAAAAAGTTTACGCAGCGAAATGATACGATTAAAGCAAATAACGATGTATGTTGGTGTGTATGCCAAAACAAAGCATGAAAATTAAAGAGTAATAAACGTGGTTCAATGCATCTAGAAGATTGATATGATTTAATATACTTAACACTTTTATATCGTAGATCAGTTCATACATAAAATATTATGCAACAGAATGGTTTCATCAATGAATTGAGCAATCTTACTCTCTCTCCTCTGCGCTATTCACCATCCTGAATAATGGCTATTTACGCTATGATTACATTGGTGCAATTTGGTACTGAAACAAACTGAATACTGGCAATCAGATCAGGCGTGCAGAGTTTTCATTTCAAAAGGGAAATAATGTATGGCAGTTATTCAACCGGAAAATTTTTGTCTTTAGTCAAAATCAATATGTTTGGTTTAGTAAATGCTTAACTTTTAATTGAATCATTTATATCATCAAATGTGTAACAGACCATGAAGAAGGAATATTTTGCCCACTTTCAAGCAATGTACGGAATATATGAACGAATATTCAAATTTGTGAAATACACATAGGTTCAACTTATAGAAGCGATACAAAGAAGAAAAACTATTTATGTCCATCAAAAAATTGAAAAATATTAGGGAAAGTTATAAGTTGAAATATGACAAGTGATATAGTGTATTACGTTTTAGGAGAGTAGATTGCTATTAAAAAACTTTCATTGGTTTCAACCTCAATAAATAGATTTGAACCATTGGACTGTCGGCTAAATGTTCAATCAAATTCGAACTCTTCATCTACTAGTACGTTTCGATGATAAATAGAGAAAGTTTTACCGGAAGCCCCAAAACATTCGAACAGGTCTGAGTAATCTGAAAAATGAGATTGTTAGTGATTATTATACATGCAATAGAAATAATTGCCCGTCCCGTAGTTTTCGAATAACTTTTTCTCATCTTTAAAACGTATAGAAAAATGTTCGGTATGTGTTTTGCAGAGGATGAAATAACAAATTTTTTAAAAATGTTGAAGTCGGCATGGTCTAAAATAAAAAATGTTTCGAAAAACACGGTGAGGACAATTGTTTCTGCCGCACTCGTTAGATCTTTTGACAATGATTGTTTGTTCTTAGAAACAAAATAAATAATTTATATTTCGTTCAAAACCCATTCAAGGCGCTTTAAAATTTTGGAACAATGTTATTTTTACTCTTTTACGTCACAAAGTTACTTTAAAATGAAAAATTCTGTATTTTATCTGTTGGATTGAAACAAGCAATTTGTCTTTTAAATATTTTTCATGTTCCAGCTGTTAGAGATACTCATCTAAACATATGAAAGTTTTATGTAATTTGGATAATCGATCTAATCATAGCGTAAATTGATAATCAGCTAATTGTCTCGGTCTTTTGAGTTGATAAAGCTGTCTTCTACAATGCGATTGTGTATCAAGTGCAAGTAGTAGCATGAGTCATGTCAAGCGATAAATCATGAATAGCCATCTTATCAAGGCTGGATTTCGATCGAAAAATCAACTTCTGAAACGGCAGATGATCTAATACAATTGTTTTATGCTCATGATAAATCTTTTTTTTTGTTTTAATTAAGGAATGCATGAAGACAATAATAGTAATGATCGGACATTAGGTCGAAATAAGTTAAATAATCAATGAAAGTTAATCCCTTCCATTTCACTCGATGTTCTTTTCGATCTATGGACTTCATAGAACAAATAGAAATGAACCGCCTATATACTTCGTTTTATTGACCACTTTTAGCATTCAGAATCTAGTTGCCGCTAGATAAAATTTACATTTATTTGACTGCAACTGGATTTATTCTAGCTAAATATACATTTTAGCTCCAAGAGTCCGATTCACTATTCTTTTCTGTGGATGAGATGTTCGGACTCAATTTTATTTTGAGTGTAACCTTTCAGGCAAGAGATCATTAGAGTTCATTTTTTCACGTTTTCCCTTTATGACGTGCAAAATCAGAGTTCTCCAGGGAACGAAATTTGTTTGATTCAGATCGATATGTCTTAAAACTGAATTTTCGATGGTACATGAGATAGTCTATCCTAGAGTTGTGTAACTCGACCCTACTCGTACCCTTCCCGACCTGAGCTACGAAGTTGTTGGGTACAGGTCGGATACGGGTACAGCAGTTACGGTTATGGGTTCTATTTTGTTTAATTTACCCGAAATCCTGAAGGTTCTAGTGGAAAACCCACAAAAGTTTAGTGAAAAAATACAGCAGCTCAGCTAAAATACATGAAGGTTTAAAAAAGAATTACTTGAGAACGTAATGATAATTTGACATCTTCAGCTGAAAAACAAAAAGGAGAAAATATTTAGGCATAAGTCGAGTACGGATAGGGTACAGGTACAAAGTTGTCGAATCGGGTTGGGCAGGGGTACGAAAATGGTACCCGAGCACATTTCTAGTCTATCCTGTTGATCTGTTGAGACATTGCTGCTGTTAAAATATTTTGCTTTCCAGTTGACATTTTTTACAGTTGCAGGTGAATGAAGATCTCAGGTACGACATTTTATAACAGTTGCTATACGTCAAAGGATGGATGATTGTTTTCTTTGCTTTTTTGCACGATGATTTCAAGTAACCGTTTTTACATGATATGTTTTCATTTTTTTCAAAGCTCATGACATCTCGGAAATTTATGTCTAAATTTCAATCAATCATGGATTAAAGGAATCAAACTTATCAAATATTTGATCATAAGAAGATGCGGCGCTCTTTTTTGTCCCGCAAAATATTCGATTGTCAAACATTTTCAAGACTTCTATAACTATACACTAAAATGTTTGCTTGGGTTAATACTATTAATAACGAAAGTACATTGTGAAGTGTTTTCATTGATTTTCCGTTCAATACAATAAGTTCAAAAGGGACTATTTTAGTTAAAGTTATATTATTACTTTTCATCACATAAATAATAGTCACATACTCTGCTCTTGCTCGAAGAAGTGCAATTCTATTGTTCTCATTCTCTTTTCTCGAATAAGTGGTAAAGCTTTCTTCTTAAAATTCCTTTCATCAAGTCGTACCTAGTGAACTTGTAGGTAAAAAGCATACATTCTTCTTTTTTTTCGTACTTTTCAGGGTTTTTTATGTCATTTACATAATGGCTTGAAATAAAGAAATAGAAAAATGTGATGTTGTTAAGAAAAACAGAACAGAAAGCGATATGAATATATTATAGGGTAGAAACAGAATTTTTTATCACATGCTTAAAGAAAAAGTAATTTTTCTTTTTCAATTTAAGAAATGCTTTTTACGCACTTCTTTGACTTCCACTCACTTTGCCATATTTAAAATCAACACTTCTATGCGTACAAACCGTCTCCTTGCGATTGTTAGACAGAATAGAACTGTCGTAAATTTTAACAAATCCTTTTAAAGACTATAATCGCTGAAGTTACATAGTTCGATAAAGTTGCATGATTTCTTGTCATTGATTATTGTGTGCTCTAATCGTTCATTCCAGATTTGTGGAACATACTGAAGTGTGTCGAGACAATAAATATCGATAACTTACAAGAATTCTTATTAAAAATTTATAATATATTTAATCTAAAAAATCAATTATCATTATTAAACAGAGTGCTTTTAAAGAGTATATCCTTGACTAAAAGTTTGAAGTCATACAGAATAACAGTACTTAACAAAATCATTGAGGTACCTCTAATTTAGGTTTTGTAGTTTTTCTATAAATCGACTGCAGCAGTACCGAGACTTTCTAGTTCGACGTTTAGTTTACCTGTAAAAACTGACGGTTTTTGAAAACTTTTCCGTTTCTGGTCTTGATTCATGAATGCTGGGGTATTATTAATCAGTTTATAAACAGTTTTAGGTATTTTGTGATATAATATAAGAAGAAACCCACATTCACAGAAAATTCCAGAATATTGACAAAGACGGTAGCTGAGTTACTATAGTACCTTATTTTTTAATGTGAGCCGTGAAGTCATCATTTTTCAATAAAAAAATTGTCGTGGAAGAATACCATTCACTGGAAAACATCAAATATTAACTAATATTATAAGATTTCTTTTTTATGATACATTAATGGCTTCATTCTGCCTTCTTTCTAATAAAAAAACACTTGTTTATAATGATGTTTAAGTGCAATGAGAGTAGTTTTTTATCAAGAAAAAAACTACCAGCCTAATAAGGCCGAAAGGAGAACAATATAATGAAAATAAAGAAAAATACTATGAAAGTAAAACATTGTTATTTGCCTTGGTTACAAAATACCATTTATCAAGGAATCAAATAAATAGAAGTTTTAGATATAGTCATGCGTATATTAAGCTTAAGACCATATTTGCCCTGAAAGGAACAGCTCTGTCTTTCATCACTCCATGAACAATCTACACAAGAAACAGTTGCACAAGGTTTCCGAAAAAAGTCATATGATACATAGTTAGCTTTGTGTTCGATACGTATCGTTTGTAATATGATACATTCTTACAGCTTTTAAATGAATCAGAATTATTCAGATCTATCCGCCTTCTCAAGATCAATGTCAAACTGCAGGTCTGATATAGTACACTACAGCAGACAAAAGTGATTTTCACTTTAAAGACTTGTGAGAGCGACATCTACTCTGTCAATTTAGTTGGACTTGAGAAGATAGTGTAGATAAAATAAAGTTCTGAGGTAATTCAAGCCTTCCCTGCCAGAAAGCTATTTCGGTCAGTTTTAGTCTAATCTTGACTAAAATTTTAGG